AAGTGTACCTCTGGTGCAAATTACTGACCTCTGTCATCATTTTAAGTGGGGGAACTTGCACAATCGGTGGCTGACTAAATACTTTTTTGCCCCACTGTATGTTACAACATGTAGGACAAAAAATTAAGTTCACAGTGTGGTTCATAATATCAAAAGTATGTTAGGAGAAGGTCAGGAGAGAGATATACCATCTGCAGCCGTCTCTAGAACATGATGGAGGCTGTGTCATGTTTGATGCTGGGTTTCAGCCAGTGGTGTTGGGGATCGTGTCAAAATTGATGGAATTATAAACACAGAAAAGTGCCTTCAGATTTTGACTGAGATCCACCATAAAATACTAGAAGGCAACTAATTGTAAACACCTTCGTGTCGATGATCCTAAACACACTGCCAATGCAGTAAAAGTATTGCAAGATAGAAAAACACAGAATGGAAAATTATAAGTCATGCACTGGACTCCCTTGAGCCCGGACCTCAGCATCATTAAAGCAGTGTGGTATCGTGTTAGGTCCAAAGGAGAGCTCTTTAATATCTTTTAAGAAACCAGGAGAATTATTCCTGAACACTATTTAAAGAAATTACAAGAACGCTTGTCTAACAGTCTTCTGTAGTGATGAACTATAGCATCGCTGTAATTCTCCTTCTCCTTTCTTTTGTACAATCTTTATTCATTTTCTCTAGCATTTAGGCTGTATTGCATCAAAGTCATAGTCACTTACAGAACTGTGATTGTGCCAGCAGTCACATCCAGTGTCTGATTTTGAAGACCTTGCAGCTGTTTTAGCAAGAACAGTAACTTAATGCCTGGATGTAATGAGGTCTGAGATCTGCTCTACAGTGTAGCAGACCCAGCTGAAACACTTCAGTCCTCCTCAGAAAATGATCAGTTATATATTCCACTTTGTCACTCGAAACAGTCATCTGTTTTCCACAACACCAGGCTGATATAGATGTAGTCTGTGATTTTATTTTATTTTTACAGTTTTCCTGTAAAGTAAGGAAAGTAATTTGGCAGATTTATTGCAGCAATTACAGTTCGCAGCTCTCAGGTTGCATTTCCTAAAGCAGACGGTCTGCAATAAAGCAACAAAGCATGAGTGAATGACTTCCTGTGTGAATGTCCCTAAAAAAGCCAGTCCACCAGATCAGGGAACACTCCGTCACTCCATTTTCACAAATTGTCACTGAACTCACACCAAATATTCCCCCTCGGGAATCAGAAAAGAGCTTACATCCACTGCTTCTTCCTGTATTTTATCTTTTCCTCGCTGGGCCACCACATATCCTTATTCCTCTTCCGTGACACTGCTGTTTCCTCTGTAAAATGTTTATCCGAGGAAGTCCCTCCATGTTCACAGTTGTTTCTTTATTGCACTCAAGCTCTCTAAATGCATTTGACAATACTTGAACTCGTGGCTCACAGCCGTGACAATTAGATGGACTGTGAAAATGTCAGAAACATTTTTGACTCTGCTTTGGTAGCAGCACATTATTACAATTATGCCTAGTTATTTGCCTAAATGTACGCAAATACTAACAAAGAGTGAGAAATTCTTTATTCTCTCCTGATGTGCTCAAATAACAAACTGTTTTGAAAGATGTCTCGCATTTTTTGACAACTTCAACCTGTCTTTCAAAAGAAAAAAAGAAAAGTAAAGCTAGAGTGACACAGCAGTCTATATTTAGTGCCTTTTTAAAAAATATTTGGCTTTTAAATTTCTGTATGACTGTCGCAGCACAGAGTAAAGCTGAATTGTTTAAAGCATTTTCTGTTGCAGGAATTTAAAAAAAGAAAAAGAGCTTCTTGTAATTGATGTACATTGTCAAATTACTGCTTTATAATTTTAGTGAGCAATTTGGTGAAGGCATATTGCATAAGCAGAAAATATTTCTCCTGTTCTAGTTCCTGCAGATTTATTGCCTCCAGAAGCATTTTCCTAATCTAATCTTGTGGTTTTTAATTAAAATATTTTATCTCTTAAGATGTGATGTTTTCTTATCTTCAAAGACTTATTGAATTTCTAAATGAATGGAACACAATAAGCAATATTGAAGAGAATGAAAAACATGAAGAAAGGGCAATAATAATGCTCACTTCTGCAAGTCAAAGTTAAGCTGTCTAGCGAAAGTCTGACAGAGTCTTAGAGGACTTGGCTCGTAACTTCATTTTCATCATACTATAAATTAAAATGACACAGTTTGTTATAATCCCTGAAGTTGATGAGGCATCTTTATTTTTACAGGATTTCTTCCTCTATGAGCCAGCTCTTCACTGACCTCAAAAACAAGCTCTTTGACCGCCCCAGTGAGGTACAGTAGATCTACTTCTTTTTCCCTCCACCCCATCACCACTTTGATGTTCTGTCTTCATCTATTGCCTATTTTAGCATCTTATTGCCAGGAACAATATAAGTGCAGTACTAATGTGATGTTCGCTGGCTGGTTGCTGTTGTTGGATACATGAAAGCCGCTTAACCACCAGGAGAACTGGCTCATAAAGAGCTCCATAAAGACAGCACGCCTTGACCTTGCCTAGACTCATAGATCCTGAAGGCTGTGGGAGGCAGAACTTGTTGTCCTTTGCCGAGAATAATAAATCTCAGAGGGTGTGTGGTTGCTGAGGCTACAAACCGATCAGAATAGAAATGTCAGAGTATTTGATTTTAAATCATTTGAATGTAACACGAGTACAGTAAGTATGCTAGTGTTGGATGAACATGAACAGACATGTTTTGTCATTTAGATGCTTGTACAGTGTTGCCCGCGAGCAGCAAGCATTGATGGAACGTAGCTGTGGTGCACAGCATCATGGCTACCCTCGCTCTTGCAGGGCTTCCCTGAGGTACAGCACTGACTGGACTGATGATTTCACACTGGATTAATTTCAGTCTGAGCACAAATCTCTTCTGCAGTGCTATCTATAGGAGAAAACTCCACCAAACAACCATGGGGAGGTACCTGAACGTCTTTATTCTGCTAGCAAAGGAAGAATTCGTGTATGATTAGATACATAGAGAGATTAAGAATGATGCTGGATTTCATAGTCAGTTAAAATGTGAAAGAAAGCAGATAGATAATGTGTTTGTTTTTTTTTCTTTTGAAAGTGCCAACAGAGAATAAGAAAATGTGCTTGAATGCCCTGTGAATGTGTATTTTGCTAACTTTGCAGCGTCATTAAATGTAGCTCCTTAGTTTTTGTACTCAAAGACACAAATCAATACCCTTCCTGCAGTTCCTGCATTAGTGATTTCTTTTTTCTTTTGCTTCACTGAGTTGCAACACAAACACACACAACAGTGGCCCATTCATCGGGGCATGCTGAAACATCAAAGGTGACAAGTTTAAAAGCCTAACTCTTTTGCAGTCTTACAAACAAAAATACCTTTGATAAATGTTTGAACAAATACTGCCCCCTGTATTGTACTTACTGCATTGAATCAAAGTTGCCTAAGAAAAGTACACTGAAGGGAGGAATCATACAACTCCAATACCAGAAGAGTTGAGAAGCTGTGTAAAATCTAAACAAGACTGCAATAATTTGTATATCTCCATTCATCCATCAATCCATTCATTCTGTTTGTCTAATTCAGTGTCGTGGGGGGGCTGAAGCCTATCTCAGCTGCCATAGGGCAAGAGTCTTAAATCTCACACGTTCATATTTTATTCACAATAGAAAATCAAATGTTTAAACTGAGAAAATGTTTAATTTGAAGATAAATGTTTGCTCATTTTGAATTTGATGAGAGCAACACATGCAAAGAGCAAAGTTGGGACAGGGCTATGTTTACCACAGTGTAGCATCTTCTCTGTATTTAACAAAAGTCGGCAAACATCTGGGAACTAAGGAGTTTAGTTGCTGGACATTTAGGAGAGAAATGTTGTCCTATTCAAGTCCGATATAGGATTCTAGCAGATTAACAGTCCGGGGTGTCATGGTCCTGGGTCGGTGACCCAGCGCTTTGAGTTTGTGATTATTATTTTCTAGTTTTTCTGATTTTGTATTGGTTGTTGGGGTTTGGTTGTAGTGTTTATTTTCCCTACCTGTGTCTCCCTCTGTGCTCTGTACAGGTCCCCGAGTTTTGGGTTGTAAAACAGTCTGTGTGTTTCCTGTTTTACTTTGTAGGTCTGTCTCGTTATGCCCATTATTCCCATCTGTGTCCCCTCCTGTGTGCCATTTCCTGATTACCTGGTGTGTGTATTTATAGTTGGTGTCTGCCTGTGCTTCTCGTCGGCTCGTCTGCGTTCTATGGTGTTCCGTTCCTGTCTCTGCGTCTCTCTGCCCCACACCCCTTTTGTATGTTCTCAGGTTTGTCATTTAGTTCTCCCAGTTTAGGTTTCTTCAGTTGTTTTCTCATGCTTCGTTGTCTGTTCTGCCACTGTCACCTGTAAATAAACCCTCACTCATATCATCAGTCGGCTGTCTGCATTTGGGTCCTCCTTTTCCTCCACACCACACGGCTCACCCCGCCAGCCGTGACAGTACGAGCCGACCAAACATGGACCCAGCAGCATCCGAAATTCTGTGCGAGCGGGTGAAGAGAGTCCAGTAGCCAGGAGTGAGCAGAGATTAATTGTTGTAGCCTGGCTTCTACAGCGTAGAGAAACGCTTCACTTCACACGCTTTTTCATTTTGTGATGGTCCAAATGTTTTTAGTTGACGAAAGGTGCTGCTTGCAAGCATGCCATGCTGTTGTAATAGATGCAGTATGCACTTAGCATTGTCTTGATGAAATGTGCAAGATCTTACCTGAAAAAACATCCTCTGGTTAGGAGCATATTGCTCTAAAACCTTTCAACACTAATGCTGTCAATTCCAAAGGCAGTAATTCTCCTCTGTACCATCAAAAATGCAGGCTTTTGGAGATCGCTGTTTGGTCGTGTTGGCGAACATAAGACAAAACTCAGACCAATAAAATGTCAGCATTTTTCCAACACACACTTTCTAATGATGCCCTCGCACATTTTAAACTAGAATGACTCACCTCACATTCTGAAATGGATTTAAAGCACATGAACAATGTGCGTTAACAGAGAGAAAAACAAGATATGCCTGTTATATTTGACTTTACAAAAATCAGCCTCTTCTTAGTTAACTGATGTGCTTTGTCTCAATAATTGACATAATTGCCCTGTTTTCATTAAAAACAGTAAAAGTAAAACATGTAAAGTGCCTCTCTACTCACTATTTAGTACCCTCTTAGGATTTGATCCAGTATTGCCATTTATTAATCACACAAACATTATACGCTGCACTTTTGTTTGCTGTTAATATTGTGTTAATCAACTGCTGTAAGAAGCACCATGATATATAATACTGCATTTCATATTAGTGCTAATTAGATACATAAAATCAGTAAATGCAATATTTTCTTTTGTCCATTATGTGAATTTAATTGGTGACAGTGAACAATCAAACAAACGCACATTTGGAATTCAAATGGTTATTGTCATAAATGCATATGTTAATTGTGTGGATGCTGTCTGCAAATGGTTACTGGACTTCCTGACCAACCGCCCCCAACATGTCCGGCTGGATAACC